CATCATTCACAAATATGACATTCCAGGCAAGGCCTTGGATATATAACCAATGTTTTCCAATCATGTCCTGATAACAGGTGGGACAGATAGTTATTATTGAACTTAGGCAGATAATTACATTGCTATGGAAGTAAGAGTGCTCAATAAGAGTTTCTGAATCCTGGAGGGCTCAGGCAGGAGGAATTAAGATATCATTTGTAAGTGTGTCATTTCTGTTTGCAAAAGCATGGCTTACTAAATGATTATGAGTTATAGATAGCATAAGAGAAAAGAGAAATGAGTTGCCTATACATCCAGAAAATAGAACATTAAGGGGCGCCTAGGTGGCTCAGTCAGTTAAGTGTCCAACTTCTGCTCAGGTCATAATCTCACATTTTGAGAGTTTGAACCCTGCGTTGGGCTCTGTGCTGACAGCTCAGAGTGTGGAGCCTGCTTTGGGTTCTGTGTCTTCCTCTCTCTGTGCCCCTCCCCTGCTCGTGCTCTGTCTCTCTGTCAAAAATAAGTAAACATTAAAAATTTTTTTAAAAAGAAAATAGAACACTGAAACATCAACAATATTCTTTTTTTAAATTGAAACATAGTTGACATATAATTTTACATTAGTTTTAGGTGTCCAACTTAGTGATTCCACAACTCTATAGGTTATGCTATGTTCACAGGTGTAGCTACCATCTGTCACCATGCAACACTATTGCAATATCATTGACTGCATTCCCTATGCTGTGCCCTTTATTCCCATGACTTATTCATTCCACAACTGGAAACCTGTACCTCCTACTCTTCTTCACCCATTTTGCCCACCCCCCGCCCCCTCCCTTCCAGCAACCATCAGTTTGTTCTCCGTATTCATGGGTCTGTCTGCTTTAAAACATCCGCAATATTCTAAACAAAATCCACAATCAGCCCTCATCAGTCTCATTCAGGCCTATATAATTAGTTCTTGTTCCTCTTGACCTTGCATTAACAGTCTCACTAACCCATTGACTTCTCAACTAGAGTTCTTGAAGTCCTGATTCAGTTCACTGGTATGGTCTCAACGTTGTTTACACTATACCATAAAAAGCCTGTACTCAACAATACTTGGCAAAAATCCTTTTCCATGGGGCTCTGAGATAGTCTTTCTTTGTTGAAGATGAAGCACTCTGGCTTGTACCTGATTGCAAGTGCTCTCAGGAACACATCAGGTTAACTTTAAATAATAATATACCATGAATATACTGAGCATATAGTTAGAATATACCCAAAGCATATCAAGAATATCAAGTAAAGAGATTCAGTAAACTGGAGTATCTATATATTAATAAAATTCTGTAGGTAAGTGCTAAGAATTCCCCAATTGAAACTAATGGCCTAGTAGATGCTAGATTCAAAATAAAGAAGCAAAGTTGAGATGAAGTTAATGTTGAAAAAATGTTTAAATTATTGAAAACTGTATACTGTAGTCAACTAATATCTGGCAAAGCAGCGCAAGGACTCTGATAAATAGAAACATATCATGGCCAGTGACGACACAGAAGGATCTTTAGGAATTTCCTATACAACATACAATTTCTGAAATACTTATATTAATAATATTTTGCCTATACCAGTTTCACCTAGGGAAAGCTGAACATCTCTTCTGATGTGGCAACTCTTCCCATGCATCTCATCAATAGTAATGTATCAAATAAACCTAATTATTTCTAGAACATCTCTTTTTATAAAGTGAAAGAACAAACCCTTTGTGATTTTTCCAGGGCCTTCCAAGATTTGATTAAGATAAGTTGATGGATTACTGAAAAATACTACTTGGTTCCCTATTTAACCACAATGATTATAAAAGATTTTTAACATAAACATAGGATGCAATATGACTATAAGGAACCTCATCTTTTTCCTAAGAAAAAAGTCTTTGTTTCCTTAAATAACCAAGGACATCATAAAGTCAACATAAACCATATAAGGTTATTCTAGTAAGACACAAAATCTTTTTTTATTGAGGAACATTACTTAGTGAAGCAAAACCTTTACAACCTGTTATTTGAGAGAAGACAAATAATCAAAAAAATTAGCATGTTAAAATGAAAAGCAAATTCTAGTTTTGCATCAGTATAATATTTAATATTGAAGTTATTTTTGGGAATCTAATAAGCCCATCAAACCTTAGCCAACTTTGATCTCAACAAATAAAATTCCCTTTCTATGAATCTTCTACCAATTTCTATATGCATACACATCCTTTATAGTACAACTTCTGTAATTGGCCAAAAAGAACAGGTTCATTAACCGAACCAAATACATGCAGTTTCTCTGTAGGATGTAAAAATAAGAAGCAAAAGCATATAAACCCGAAATTATGCCTAGCAATTAATGCATTCTCTTAGTTAGAAATGGTCTAGGGATCTAATGAATATCCATTAATTAACTCAGTTTAATACCACCCAAAGTTTTCAGTTACCTAAAGATCTTATAAATTATCTTCAAGCTGACATACTACAAAACATAACTACTGTTAAAATAAAGTTCATCACAATAATGACTCAATTAATCTAAACAAATTTGTCATAGTCTCAAACATTTAGTAGAGGTAATGTTAGCTCAATTAATTAATGAACCTGTATAAATTTAGGAAGAATATATTTAAGTAGAATAAAAATCTACAGGTATATTATACTTAACATGTATAAATTAGAAAAGTCATAGCTGATTTTAGTAAACCAAATTTATTAAATCAGTCTTATCTGCCAAAGACTTACCTAAATTATGCCAACTTGAATTCTTAAATTCAACAAACTGAGTTTGTTTCTATAGGAATACTTTTAGCACATTAAAAGTCTTGAAGTTTAATGTCCTTATTTTCTGAAAATTTTAGGAAGATTCTACTTATGTAAGCAGTTATTTCTATAATCTAATAAGAATAGAGCTCCTTTAAGAAAATATTAGGAAAATATTACATGCAAAGACCTTTCTGAATTACAGACAACATCGTCATCATTATTATTATTCAAACTATCATGATAGGGAGGATGTTCATTAACAAAGAACATCTCAAAGGAAAGAAAGGGGGCCAGGAGTCTTTTAGAGGCAAGTATTCTTCTTTATATGCCACGTTATTTCTGATTGCTTTCTTTGTTTTTTGGTTTTGTTTTTCTGTACTTATGACTTGTCTCCCTAACTTAATTATAGGCTCTGAGGGGAAAAAAATATGTCCTATATTGATTTGTATTTCTCCTCCTCCCCATCTCCCTCCTCTTATTCACTTTTTATTGAAGTATAATTGACATACGATGTCCTGTTGGTTTCAAGTGTACATGATAGTGATTTGACATTTTTATACATTATGAAATGATCCCCAGAATAAGTCTAGTTACAGTCTGTCACCTTATGAAGTTATTACGATATTATCTATATTCCCTATGCTGTATGCTACTCTTTCTGCCTAACACTTAATATTCCATCTCACCTATCCAAAAGTTATTGATGTTTCTCTTTTTTGATATGCTAAACAGTAGACTTATAAAATGTAAGCTTTTCATAATTGGAAAATAGCATCCAAAAACTTTCAAAGTCACATATTTACCTCTTATTTACAAAGAATTCATGGGTGGGCAAATCTTTTTCTCTTATTGGTTTCTTCCTGGTTGCGTATCTAAGGCCAAGCTTTGCTTTGCTTTGCTTTGCTTTCTTTCTTTCTTTCTTTTTTTTTTTTTTTTTTTTTTTTTTTTTTTTTTTTTTTTTTTTTTTTTTTTTTTTTTTTTTTTTTTTTTTTTTTTTTGCTGGGTGATCACTGAATTCACCTGCATGAGAAAATTCAATGCTTAGTGATATTTTTTACCAACTTCCTGCTCGCCAATGTACCTGTCTCATTGACTCAGCCTATAAACCAGGGTATTGTTCAGAATATGAAATGTTATTATGGACGAGGTTTCATGAAGAATTTTATGCAATGTGTAGGTACTAGAAAGATCTTATAATCTCATAGTACCAAAAATGCTCTTTTAAATGATGCTCATGCTTAGAATTCCATTTCAATTAAAATATCAGGGAGAACTTGGGAAAAAATGGGCTGGATATTTAAAGTGTCTGTGGAAGCTAAGGACATTGAAGCATTTAGGATGAGGCCTTAAAAATAAGTTATAATACACTTTTGATGATAAAAGAATGCTTTTTTTTACATCTACTCAGCAAGACTTAATGGCAACATAATAAAAAGAAGTAGGCTAATAAGAGTAGGTTACTCTTAATAAAAGAGTAGGTTAATGTTGACAAGAGGTTAAAGTGACACAGTATCACCAATAAAAATGTGAAAAGACACCAGTGAAGTCAATGAAGACAATTTTAGTGAAGGAAACAAAATAACTTTAGAGGAGGCTGCCTCAGAAAGGCAACCACATGTAGAATGTTTGTACATTCTATATTCAGCTTTTAAAGCAACAAGTGCAAAAACTTACAGAAAGGAAGGAAGGAATGAAGGAAGGGAGAAAGAGAAAGGGAGGGAGGAAGGAAGGAAGGAAGGGAGGGAGGAAGGAATAAAGAAAGAAAGCAATTCTAGTTTATGTCATAGGATCAGTACAGACTCCAGTCTCCGTCATCTTCTACATCTGGCTGAGCAAGATGGTCTTTAAGGCCCCTTCTAGATTCTAGCTTTCTTCAAGTCCTATAAGGGACATTCAGTGTCGATCATGATGAGCCCAGGGTACTACAAGATTTTTAAATCATTCCTGAATCATTAGAGAAAAGTTCTGTTTTGACCAATATAGTTATAATATTATAATTCTTTGAAAATCTGGGATCCTAAATGAAAAATGTTACCAATCCACCTGAATATTTAGCTTACCAAAACACTTCATCCCCTGATCACTCTGGGCCAATTTACTATATATTCTTTGTAGGTAGATTTTTGTTTTTCTTAAAAGAAAAGGGAATTGTAAGGGAATAGATCTCAAGGGTTAAATCCTTGGCTGTAAAGACTCCCTTGGATTGCTTTTGGCTGTTGGCTGTAGCAACTTGTTTTCTTACAGAGATGAAGCATCTGGTTTTTGTTATCTCAATGATGCTGTCCTGGGAATATTACGATTGCGACGGAAATTTGACCGTATTCTCTATGTGGATTTGGATCTGCACCATGGAGATGGTAAGCCCTTCACATTCAAAGGTGCTTTGCTGCTAGGACAGAAGGTTTTTATCAGTGAAGCTGCTTCTAGGTGACTGGTAAAAGGATAAATGCCTGTTACTTTTGAAATTTTTCTAATTGAGAATCCTGAAGTAGGTAGAATAGATTCTTCTAACTGATGTAATTCTTCTTTGCTAAGCAAGATGCTTTAAAATACCAGGTTTTTTGGGGCGCCTGGGTGGCGCAGTCGGTTAAGCGTCCGACTTCAGCCAGGTCACGATCTCGCAGTCCGTGAGTTCGAGCCCCGCGTCAGGCTCTGGGCTGATGGCTCAGAGCTTGGAGCGTGTTTCCGATTCTGTGTCTCCCTCTCTCTCTCTGCCCCTCCCCCGTTCATGCTCTGTCTCTCTCTGTCCCAAAAATAAATAAACGTTGAAAAAAAAATTTAATAAAATACCAGGTTTTTATAATTTCCCCTCACCTCTCCTCCACTAGCAAATTTCTCCAGTATAGAACATTAAGAAGTGGAAATCCTGTCTAGTGTATACTCAGTGCTCAGTCACCTCCCTCAGGCCACTTCCATAGGTTCTAAATGAAATCTTCAGTTAGACAATCTTGATGCTTCCCTTAAGATTGAATCAGTGTAGGGGCGCCTGGGTGGCGCAGTCGGTTAAGCGTCCGACTTCAGCCAGGTCACGATCTCGCGGTCCGTGAGTTTGAGCCCCGCGTCAGGCTCTGGGCTGATGGCTCAGAGCCTGGAGCCTGTTTCCGATTCTGTGTCTCCCTCTCTCTCTGCCCCTCCCCCGTTCATGCTCTGTCTCTCTCTGTCCCAAAAATAAATAAACGTTGAAAAAAAAAAAAGATTGAATCAGTGTATGATGGAATAACATTCAGAATTTTTCACTGATAGGGATACCAACTCATGTAGTAATCAGAATCTGCACCACTTTCTTTGTATTACTAAAATATTTAGTGCTACACAAACTCAGGGCATCTCCTCTAACTTTTAACAGCAGCAGAATCTTGATTCACCTTACCCCATTAATGCCCTTTCAGAAGACTTCACCAAAAGGATGTTACCCAAAACCTCCTATGTACTTTCCATCTACAATGTAGAGCTTCAGTGACAGTTACCCACACTCTGCTTCTTTAATACATCCTGTGTGTGCCAGATGCTTCCATTGATCTAGGATCACTTAGCTGGTAAAATTAATTAAGGATATTCCCTAGTCTCCCCCACATCAGTGACTGCTGCTTCCCTGTTTCCAGGGATTTTTGGAGACAAACTAACATAATCAAGGTATAAGTGAGGAAAATAATAGCATATGACAGAGGCTAGAATCAGCTCTCCTGCCAAAACAGAAAAAGAAGGAAGAACTTGTGAGGAAAACTTCCCCAAAGAGTTCACCTAGATGGATGCTACCAAGGAATGGTGACAGAAAATTGAAGGTAACAGAGAAAGGCAAAGAGTTAAAGCAGCCAACATACTACTTTGAGAACCATGTCCACCAAATATCTGAATACTTAGCCAATGCAAAACACAGCCTTGTTCAAAAACCTTCAAAGACTCCTTATTGCCTATAACAAGAGTAACATTTGGCCCATGGCTTGTTTTTGTATGGCCAGCAAGTGAAGACTTTTTTTTTACATTCTTACAAGGTTGTAAAGAAAACAAAGTGCAGTAGAGACCATGTAGGCTCTGCAAAGCCTAAAATATTTGCCTCTTGGTTTGCTAACTCTTGGCCCATAGCATTGGTTCTCAAACCTGCATATGTAGCAAGATGACCTCTGGGAAGCCTGTTTTGAAATGCAGAATTCTAGGCCCCATCCACCAGATATTCAAATCCAGTAAGTCTGGTATGCAATGCCAGATCTACATTTTAGCAACACTCTGGCTGTTCCACAGGCCACACTTTAAAAAAAAAACAGTGCTCTTCAAGTTAAAGTCTATATTCTTTACCCTGTCTTTTGAGATCTGCCTGAAAGAGACCTTACCTCCTCTCTCCAGTCTCCTCTCTCACTACTTCCTGTCTAGGCTACTGTACTCAGTGATCCCCAGACATGTCTCAGTATTCCCACCTCTCTGACTTTGCATTACTTTTTCCTAATTTAGTTTTGCTTTTTCTTCCAAGTTCTACCCAGGAGCTCAAATTCTAACACTAGCAGATTTGCCCTGACTACTCCAACCCCAGTGTTCTCTTCCCTCCTCAAGTCCTATATTGTTTATATCGCTGATTTGATATTTAATTATATATTGTCTTGTATTGTTAGTTAAATCTTTAATGTGTCTGTGTCTTCTCCTCCCATAGGAACTTTCAGTTCCTCCAGAGCAGAGATCAAGTTGTTTACTTCTTTCTGTCCTGCACAATGGCTTGAACAAACAGAACTCTGCATATAGCAGTGGTTCAGTAAAATATTTGTTGAATGAATGAATGATTATGAAATCCAAACTATTAGTATCAGAGCTCAAGAATAGAATCAACTCTATTGAACCATGTAAGAATGAAATGACTGTCACCTGAAACCGTTCTTTCCATTTGCAATGTTATTTCTACACCATTTAGAGTTTCCTGCTTTAGCCAACTTTTATGGTGTGTTTCATTTCAGTTTATTTCCCCTCTTCAGCACCTCCCTTCCAGTGACCTCTGCCCCGCCTCCAAACTCTTACACATTTGGTTCATTTTAAATCTCCCATGATTCCATAACTAGCATCCTGTGGTGGCTTCACAAGCACTCTTAGCCTGTCCTCCCCTTCCTTCACCTTCTTTTGTTTTCCTAACCACTGTTCTCTTTCACACCAAGCCCCATACCTCCACCTATCTGTCTCTGTCCTTTTTTTAAAGTATGATTTGCTAACAATACCTAATGGCATTTCCCATCAGAGGAGATACAAATAGCTACTAAACATAAAAAGTGCTCAACACTCAGAGAAAGGCAAATTAAACAAGATCATTTTTTCTGCCTAAGGTTAAAAAGAATAATAACACCCAGTGCTAGTCAGGGTGTGAGAAAATGGGAACCCTCATATATCACTGATAGAAGTGTAAATTGGTTACCACCTTTCTGGATCAATAAATAATCAAGATTGTTATGAATTGTCCTTGTTTAATACCTCAGTCGCTAAGTTAAAATGCTATTTTAATATATTTTGTTTTGTTTTCTTTTGTTTACTTAATGCCTTGTGCCTGGAGCCTTTAACTGATTTTTTTTTAATTTTTTTTTCAATATATGAAGTTAATTGTCAAATTGGTTTCCATACAACACCCAGTGCTCATCCCAAAAGGTGCCCTCCTCAATACCCATCACCCACCCTCCCCTCCCTCCCACCCCCCATCAACCCTCAGTTTGTTCTCAGTTTTTAACAGTCTCTTATGCTTTGGTTCTCTTCCACTCTAACCTCTTTTTTTTTCCTTCCCCTCCCCCATGGGTTTCTGCCTTTAACTAATTTTAACTGCCTCCCTAGGGCAAAACATAAGGCTTGGGAAATTCAAACATGCCTGTGATATACAAATATAGTTAATATTTTTCTAAGGTCTCTTTTGGCCTCTAATGAAGACTGAAAACATTAAGCAAATGCAGCGACAGTTTCTTTATTTGACATATAAAAAAGGATAGTACATGAATTTGCTAATAGTCCCTCCATTTTACAGACGGACTATCTGAATATAGTATGACACTATGTGATTCTGGGAGGAAAGGTGTGGAGGTGGGCAGTACATTTATCTGAATAAGCAGTGGCTTATAAGAGTTGTATCTTCTATCTCCCAGGCCTCTATACTAATTTTCTGCCTCTGTTAAAATGGAAAGGAGACTACTTTCTAGAAAGGTTCTTCCCACCACCATCTTTCTTCAAGCTTTAAAACTTTGTTATAAAGACACTATTAAGGGAAAAGGGCGGGACTCTCTTAGCCTTCCATGTTTTAGCAAGAAAGGTGTACTATAAGCTGCTTAGACTTTGGGTGAACTGCATTTATAACCAAATCTGTATCATAGAGAAGCACTTTATAATTAGGTTTTCACTACATAATGCCTAATGTTTGTATTGGTCATATTTTTCAAAGGGTTGCCACATTTTACTTCTTTGAAAAAAAAAATCCCAAGAATTTAACTGGAACCACTAAAACAAAACATAAAACTTCCAAGATGGTGCCAGTCCTCTATTCAGCTCTGTTCATAATGCTTCAATTCTGAGCTTGAGCCTTCCCCACCCTTTAGAAGAGGTTGTCTAAGGGAGCCTGGACATCCTGTTGCTTGGAAAGGAGAAGTCCAGTTATAACTTTCCATGAATGTAAAAAAGAACCCCAAAACTTCACTGGGGGCCAAAGTTCTACCTCATCCTGTACCAACAAGAGATCAAAGACTGGAGGGGTTTGTTCCTTTTATTCCTCAGCTTGTTAGTTTTATTATTGCTATCCTCTCTCTTACTTCCCACAGCTACTTCCTAGCATTTCAGTTGTTGAAAACGGGAGTTGCATATATGAAGTGATTCTTCTGCTGTTTTTTTTCCTCTGCTAGGTGTAGAAGATGCCTTCAGTTTCACCTCTAAAGTCATGACAGTGTCCCTACACAAATTCTCCCCAGGATTTTTCCCAGGCAAGTAATCTGTGTGCTCAGTATTACATCTGAGGAATAAATACTGCAGTTCTTCTATACATCTCTTATATTTAATATCTGGATAGTTACATGCTATTAATACTTCATTGGTGCTACTTTATCCAAAATTTTAACACAGGTCATTTCAGGCAACAATGATAGGAGGAATATAATACTGCTTCTTTTTCCAGATGACTTTGATGGACTGTCAACAGACAGCTCACTTACACTTACTGTCTTATCACATAGGACAGTGTAACTGTGTAACTCCTAACATCCTAATAAGTGCAATGATATATTAATATTATATCAATCAAAGGCATATGAAAAGTCAAGCAAAGGAGTTAATCTTTTTGTCTAACTTGATCTAGCAAAACGGAAACTAAGTTTTTTCCCATTGTCTTAAGGTTTTCCTCTTTCCCCAACATTGTTTACAGCAGTTACTTCTCTATATTGTTTTTCTTAATTTCACACTCTTAGAAACCATAATTAATCTAAGACTGTTCTTCTACTTGGCCTTTTATTCTTTTGCATTCCTATCAGAATCCTTCAAGTTGTCTAATGCTGGTATTCTTAAAACTGTTCATGGCGCTCCTCTCTTTCACAGGAACAGGTGACGTGTCTGATGTTGGCTTAGGAAAGGGACGGTACTACAGTGTAAATGTGCCCATTCAGGATGGCATACAGGATGAGAAGTATTACCACATCTGTGAAAGGTATGGCAGTAACACTGGCCCAGTAACAAGTGGATTGCATTTCTGTAGGATGAAATGGCTCCCAATCTTACAGAATTCTTATTTTCAAGGAACAATTTGAGAGAGAGAAAAAGAGCCACTGTACACCTATGTCACTTTTCTATACTGCATACTTATTTGATCCCTTGTGTAGGAGACCTGAGTTTTTGGAACAGAGCCACACTCTTGGTTTGATCTTACCTGCTGCCCCATATGATTAAGGTCTTCCCAAGAGCAGAGCTTTTAAGCTGTCCTGGGTTATCCCTTGCCTGCTACTTTCTTAGCTAAAACCTGTACGTATGTGATTTCATTAGCCTGAGAAGGTTCATTTCAGTTTCCCATTATGGAGATCTGCTTCAATCCACTGGTGTGAATATTAGAAAATTCTTTATTATGAGTTCTTGAGTTCTATCCTTTGTGTTAAAATTGGGGTCAGAAATCTCTTCTTTTGAAACTATGTTTAAGGATTAAATTATAGCCACTTGTAGGAGGACAGTTTGGTGCGGATATGTAGACCATTAGGGCTGAAAAGCCCTACAGAATGGGGCAGGAGGTAAACCCATATTCATTTAAGTTGAGATTGGTCAGGTACAAATTCACTGCTGACATTGGCAGTAGAGAAAGTGAGTCTGACTAAAAGTCAGCAAGTCAGCATTACTTAAGGTAAGTAATGGGGATCAAGGTGCTTTTGATTCCTAGCCCCACTCAGCTCAGATTTCTCCCAACTTCTGGTGGACACAGGGACTTCCCAAAGGAGTCTGCACTGGCCATCATCACTGGGAGTTGTATAAACAAAGTAGAAGTATTAAAAAATAAAAACTTTATAAAAATAGAACTACCCTATGACCCAGCAATTACAGTACTAGGT